ACTTTTGTTTCCTCTTAAATGCCTTAGATATGATCACACGTGGTGGGGCAACATTTATTTATTTCATGAACTAGTAATCACATTCATATCTATATGAGAGACTTGATATGGGACAGAATAGAAGAATGCTAGGCAAGGGTTTCACCTGTTTGTTGAGGAAAGTGAGGCTACTTCCCAAAACAAGCTGGTTTTTTAAAACATTCTTCCCCATTCCCCAAAACATTCTGTCCTCCCATTCAGCAGCTTTGGTCCTTGTTTAAAAAAAATGTCTTATGTTCAGAAAAGGGCAGTTTATGTGAAGTATCGACACTACACCATTTTTGCTTCAGAGCAAAATTTGCAACCGTATGCCTAATTTTAGGAAGGCCAGGGAAATGCTGGCTCTCCTCCACTGGAGGCATTCAAAAAGAACCTGGACAGCCATCTGAGTGGGATGGTGTAAAATGGTGTCCTGCAGCAGCAGGGAGTTGGACTCCATGGCCTTCATGGCCCCCTCCAACTCGTCTATTCTATGATTCCCTGTTGAGAGCCACTTCACAGAAAACCTAACATTTGAAAATCAAGCTGTTCAAAAGCAGCCTAAAGGCAGCAAGTGCTCTGTGACTTTTAAAGAGCAATCGATGAATGATGCAATGACTGGGACAAAGTCAGGGGCATGGCTTCACATTTTATGGCTTAGCTTCCCTTGGGGCGGCTTTGCCTGTCATGTGAACACCTTGCTGCTCCCTTGGCATGTTTGCAGAGATGCCCTGGAGGGGCTCATAAACTACCCCAAAAATCTAGGGCTGAGTTCCCACTGGAGCTGAGCCTGTTGTTCAAACCCAGATGACACTCTAAGGCACAGTCAAGCTAGAAATAGAAGGTTCCTTGCTGGAGCAGCAAAGCCGTGTTGCTGTCCTGGCCAAGGAAGTCTGGCTGGGCTGGGCTGGGCTTCCTTGCAGGAACATGGTGGGGTAAGGGCTCCACCCCCACTGACTCGCACAGTTCTTGCAGGCAGGTTCGGGGTTGTTCTGCCCATCAGCAACCCACATGTGTGTGGCAGTAGCAGGCAGAAGTGTCCCCTAGCCAGACTAGCTGGAACTCTGAGTGGGTGGGGAGCAGGCAGGAAGCCGTGGGGGAAGAAGGGCGAGCTGCCTGGTGCGGGCCTTGGAAGCCCAGTGCGAGGCAGCCCAAGCCCTGCTACGGGTCCCTTCCATCTTCATGCCTGCCTGTGCAACCCCCGTGGGTGAGCCGGGGGTCAGAGGGCAGTGGCTGCTCTCCCCACACTGCTTTCTGTGAGCTCCAGCATGGTGCCCCCAGGATGCCAGCCAGAGGCCTGGGGGCCGGGTGGTGCCTGAGCACCCACACTGTGCCCAGCCATTTGTCAGGCACAGGTGGGGACACCCCGCCCCTCAGGGCCCAGGGAGCTGCATGGCTCCAGTGTGGAGTCGGGGACCTATCAAGAGCGATGGCAAGCTCAGGGGTACTACAGTCTCCTTATTAGGGAATGCGAGTCCCAGGCCTCTCAATGCCAGCAATCTCCAGAGGCTGGTTGTGTAGTCTGAATGCTGCAGTGAGGCTGGCATGGCCATGAGTGAAATGAAGCACACTCAGCAAGATAGGATGCGTCAGCAGCAGGCCCGCTTTGCTTCATTCCTCTCCTCTCCTCTCCTCTCCTCTCCTCTCCTCTCCTCTCCTCTCCTCTCCTTGTTGTCTTAGTGTGTAATTCAGCTGGCACAAAGAATGCTCACTGCTATTGCGGGCACGGCTATGGATGGCCTCCCACAGCGTGCAAAGCTAACCCAGCCTGCTCCAGGACCCCAGCGGTGTCAGAAGAGAGCTGCCACTGTGCTGCGCAGCCGCTGCCTCTGAGAACCTATTGCCAGCTTCAGCCTACAGGTAAGGGGAGGTGAGGTGGAAAAAGAAGTCCGGCAGCTGTCATCCAAAACTGAGAGATGCCAGGGGTGACAATGACCTCTGCCAGATGATGTGGAAAAAGCAGAACAAGTGCTGAGCCACTGAACACGGGAAAGGTTTGCTTGATGTAGATTAATGTGTAGATCGTGGTTGCGAGATGTGGCCCCAAGCCGTAAGAGACTTTGTAGGTTAAATCCAGCATCCTGACTGTAGCTCTGAAGCAAGCAGGCAGCCAGCACGGCAGGGCTGGGATGGCTTTTATATGTTCACTCGGGATGTGTGAGGAATCCTTCTGGGGGTGGGAATCCTCCTGGCTCCCTGGGCTTGGCTCCCTGGGCTGCAGACTGCTTTGATGTGGCCATGAGCTCCCAGCCAGCGCGCCCAGCGAGCATGCGCAGCAGCCACATAATGCTCTCCAGGAGCTGAGCCCACACACACACTGTGCAAGCAGCATCCCTCTTCCCTGCTGCGTGCTTCAGCCTTTCCTTGTGCTGCTGCACCTGAAGCAGAGGAAGGCTGCAGATATCATAGCCTTTGTTCCGCAAGCATTTGCAGACCTCCTCTCAGCCCAGCCCAGCCCAGCCTGTCTGTGTGGAGCGGGGCTGACTGGGGAGCCGTGGAGCGCTGCCGCTTTGGCTTCTCTGTCCCCTCTCCACCCTCCGGTGTGCCTCTTTTCTCCCATTCTGGCTGGTCGGCCACCTGGAAGGAGGGCTTTCCACAGCAACTGGGAAGCTCCCAGCTCTGTGCTCTTAGCTCTGTGTGGCCCCATCCAGAACCAGTTGAACGCCCTCCATCTGGTCCAAGGAACCACCCTCTAACACTGTCTAGCCTGAGCTTCAGTAGGGTAGCTCTCACCCAGTTCATTGTTGCAACCAGGCACTGGTTTAGCACATCCACAGCCTCACCTGCTGGAGAAGAAAAGGAGAAACAGAGCTGTGTGCCATGGCAACACACTCTAGCATTCCAGATGACTCCATGCAGCAGTTTCATGGAGATACAAAATAGGTTGGGGGACAGGACAGCCCCCTGAGGAGCCCCTTGCTGGACGATCTAACATTCCCCTTCTGGAGAGGGCCCTCCAAGCAGGAGCAGGGTCACCATGTCACTACTGGCTACTGGCCCGCACTCCCACCTCCTACAGCCACCCCAGAAGGACACACGGTCGATGACACTGCAAGCATGTAAAGAGAGGAGCACCATTTCAAAGGATTCTATTAAGACATAATCCTTTAATTACAAGTTTTTTTCAATCAGCACCAGGATGCAACTAATAATATGACTTCTTCTCTTCTGCCACAGACATTCCTTTTACATACGTAATAAAAATGTCTGTTCGCCTTGACAAACCCTTTGAGATTGCTCTGTGGGACTCGACCTCCCCATTGTTTAAAAAATACAAACAAGATTTGGAGAAAGCGGTATGTCTGAGCTGGTTTTTTAAATCATGTTTATCTTGTGGAAATATTTAGTAGTAGAATGCCAAGGCCCATAAACCAGATATTCTGACATTTGGAGACAGTTCAATATATGGTGAAATGCACTTTGACTTGCCTGAATTTAATTCTGGTATTTCATGAAGATGCAGATAGAAACTGTGGAAGAGCAAACTCAGTCAGCTGGTCCCAGAAAAGGGGCAAAGTGCTGCGGCACCGCAGCCTGCAACTCTGCGGCTCTCAGTGTTGTCTGGGAGGCATAGGATAGTTTGGCACCCCGGGTCCAAGGTCCCAGGCTCCTGGGCCTTGGAGCTGGGACTCCCAGGACCGAGCCCCGCTGCCTGCCTCACCGCCAGCACGGAACAGCTATGTGGGCTGCAGCCTCAGGACAAACTGGGGCCTCAGAGGGGACAGAAGGGGAGTGCTGGGATGGGGAGGGGAGGGCAGCGGGAGGGGAGGGGAGGGGAGGGGAGGGGAGGGGAGGGGAGGAGGCTGGTCCTGGGGCCAAAGGCTCTTGCTGACTCCGAGGCATCCCAGCCTCCTTCCGTCCCTCTCCCTGGCACCAAATTCAGACATCTGGAAATGCCCCGCTGGAACGATGCCTGGCCAAGCATTGTGGCAGCAAAGGCTGCCAACACTGTGCCTTGTCCCAGGGACAGGGTGCCCGGAAGCCTCTGAGCATGATGCGCAGCAGTCTTACTTGCACCCATGGCGTGCTCAAGGCTCAATCCTAGGCGTGCTTGAAGGGGAAAGGGTCTTGCAGTTCCCACCATCCCCCAGCCAGGATGGCAGGCTCAGGAGTGGAGGGAGCTTAGGGCTCTTTTCTGTCAGAGTCTGCCTTGGAGTGCACTCCAATTTGTTTTCTGTTCAACAGCTTCTTTAGCTTTGACTAACTGGGCATATTGTAAGACCGTGCAGCCTCTCTTTTACCAAGCATAATTCATGGAGGGTAGTCAAGGAAGTTGTGCCACCACCATTCATTGGCTCCTGGGCAGGTTTCATATGAAAATTAGTGCACTGGAGGGAAGGTGAGAGTGAAGAGATAGTTTTAGTTTGGAGGGGGGCTGCACTTTCATGTTTGTAGGCTTAAATGATTTGGGATGAGCCAGTCTCATGTTCAGGTAATTACACACAAAGTTATTTTTGTTATTAATAGGATACAATAGTTTAGTGACGCTTCTTAGAATGATGTTTTCCTGTCTTGTCAGTGCTGCAAGAAACATTTCTTTTTTTAGGAAAACGAAAGCTGTTGTGTGCATAGCAGAATGTCAAGTGATGCTACCCTTGAGTAAAAAACCACAGGATAAATGAGAACAAATAATTATTGATCTGGTGCATTTCAGACCATTTTATTTATACTGATCCTTCCTTCAGAATAAGCATGTTTTCATTTTACTGGCCTTTCAATATAGTATACAGGATGAAATAAAATTAATAGTCTAATACCTTATGAGGTGTAATGGTCTCATAAAACTTTTTAAAAAACATTATTATTTTCAGTTTACAGAGGGCTACACATCTTTACCAGGCTTCAGAAATGTAACAGTTACTGGATTCAGGTATGAAAGTTGACCTCCTGTTGCCTGCCCTAGTAATGTCTCAGAAGATTAGGGAAAGTGCTAGAACAGTGCTTTAGAAACATAGAAACAGAGCGAGTCAGAAGGGGTCTCCCGGGCTATCTAGTCTGACCCCTGGCTGCAGCCGGCTCCACTCACGACATGCCCACCATGTGCACGTCCAGTCTGACCTTGTACTTTGGTAAACAGGAGTAAAAAGCATGTAGACTGAAATTATGGTACTTTATGGGAGGGAGGGGCTTTTTGTGCAGAAAGATCAGCAGAAAGCATTAACACAGCTTGCTTCTATTGCAAGTGGATTCCTTGCAGATAGAGAGGAAGGTGCATTACACAGACGATGCACAGGAACTCGTTAAGGCCACTGTCCTCTGCTTTGATGCACAACCCCTCCTGTGCACAGAGGTCTCTTGCACGGAGTGCTGGACAATCTCTGCCATGCAAGCCTCACGCCCTGCACCACATGAGGGGCCAGGAAGGGGAGGGGGAGCAGCTGGGGCTTGGCCACATCAGCGCTGCCTGCCCTCCTCTGCTTGGCCCTCTTGGAGGCTGCGTTCTGCCATGGAAAAGCAGCCTGTGTGGCTCTTTCTGTGCCCACCATTAGGGAGCAGGGCAGGGGCTCTGCAGGCAGAGTCCGAGCTCTGAGGTTGCTGGGTCTGAGAGCTGGACTCCAAATGGCACTATTCTATCCTCCCTTCCCCTGCCAACCCTGGTGGAAGACAGCAGATTCCACCCCTAGCATTTCCCCATATTTTCATACGGTAAGATTTTACTGTGTCTTGGTACTGTGCCCCACTTTAGGATGATTGTATAGTGAAAAGTAGATTTTTTAAAAAAATAAGTGAAACAATAGAATAATTAAAAGGTCGAAAGTTGCTCTTGTTGCTACGCAGAGTGATAACTTGTGTTAGGAAGGAAAGAGGTGCTGAAGACCTCTGTGCTGGGAGGCATCCACTCAGACAACGGATGGCCCGCTCCCATGTTCTGGGAGGCCAGCACATTTCCCTGTTGGTGATCCCAGGCTGGGCATAGAATACAAAATATGGAAGAGAAATGTGATGCTTGCCCGTTAAATGATTCGTTCTTCCCACTTTCGAAAACAAGTTGCCTTCCCTTGCAATTGAAACTGCAAACATTATGCCGCATCATGCCCAACGTGTGGCAGTGATGCCCTCAGCTAAGTGGCTGCCCATTGTCCATCCCCAGTAAAAGTGCGGAATGTGGGAATGTGTACTTAAAGTAGGATAGTCCAGATTTCAGTTCACAATATGAAAAGAATCTACTGCAGTTGTTTGGTGGTCTATGGAAACCTTATATTTTTTGCATCCAGTAGAGGTTCTCCACATGTAGGAAGGCAGAGCAGAGGCACTGTCCCTGCAGCCACCATGACCTGTTCCTGGAGGCTTTGCTGAAGCGGATCTGAAGGGGACTATGAGAAGAAGACTTGGAGAACCACTAGTCTTTTTGCAGAATGCTGATGCAGGCTCGCTTTGCTAGCCATTGGCCACGGCACGATGTTCGTTTTTTTCTGGTTGACAAGGAAGAAGGGATAGTAGAAAAGATTGCAGTTAAGACTATTATCATGGATTTTTCCAACACCTACAGTTATCTAAAACATTGCGATAAAGAGGTCATTTTATTATATAAAATAACCAGATCTGATGTTCTGTCTGTACAGGCCTGGAAGCACCATGGTGTCATATGAAATAACAGCAGCAAAGAATATACCAGTGGAAAATGCAACTCAAAAAGTAGCTGATGCCTTAGATCCATCCTACAAATTAGTACCTGCCTCATTTGCAAAGGAAATCCTTGGTAATGTATAAAGATCTTCTGTGAAGAATCTGTATGTTATCATTCTATATATGATTGTGCTGATGGTACAAATGCCATTCTGTACTCCAACCCTCCCTATTTTGATATAGCCCTTCTCAAGAGATCAGCTGATCCACCTTACTCTCCCATGCCATGGGTGCTTGGACAAGGCTGTAGAGCACCTTCTGACCAAGCTTTAGGATGCCTTATGGACCTTTTGACAGATTATTAATGTTCCAGGTCTTCTGGAGTCAAAAGAAGGTCTCCCAATATTTGCAAGAAACTTCTCATTCCACTAACTTCCCCAACAAACGTATAAGAACACACCTACATCCCTGTATTTCTCCACATGCCCCCAGTGGTTGGAAAAACCCCACACCCCTTTGATTTTTGAGAAGGGTTCTGCCCTCTAAGCTCTGTCTGCAACATACCTTCTTCCAGTGGGAAGAGTCTTACTGTTCTTGAAATAAGGAGCAGGCAACAAGGACCTACAGCCACATCCTGCCACCACCGCTTCTGCTGTGCCACCAAATTCAGCAGTGGCAAAATAGAAATTTTTGAACCAAAAATCACTGCTTTTAGCACTACAGGGTGATAAGAAGGTCAAATGTAGCTTGTCCTGAAGAATAAGCTAAATTCAACCCATTCAGCAATATGGAAGAGTAGTGGTTGTGCTACTATTTTTTTAATGTATGCTGAAAATTGGGGGTGGGATCCAGGAGTTGAAGATATACTGCCTGTTCACCCTGATTTAAACTCTGCCCATATAGTAGAGTGAAAGAACCATATCTCACCTATCTACCAGGTAGAAAGGTCTTAAGTAGTTGCTTTGACCAAGGGTATCAAGGGTAAAGAGATGCTCATCCTATTCCTCTGAGAATGGCAGAATTCTGCTTACACATGAAGGAAGGGGAAACTGAGCTTTCAACCAAGAAGTAGTTCATTCTTTCATCATAGGCTCCTGAGGCCGGTGTATGTCTTCTTGCATTTGCATAGTTTCACATTCATAGTTTTCCATCACATTTTGAAATATTTTCCTAGGGGCATTAGAACACCACCAAATGGTACTATGAAGTATATTTGGTAGTAGCATACTGTATAATTCTTTGAAAAGTGGTACTAATTTCATGCTGGTTTTGAATGGTTCTCTTCTTTTCATGCCAGGTGAAGTAAACTTCTCCATCTCCCCTGAAAACATTTTTGAGGGGGACACAGTAAAAATGACGTGCGAGTCAGCCTTGAGCTCCACCAATGCAACATGGTACCTTTCGGGATCTGTGGTCTCCAGCAGCAGCAGGCATTCCATAACAGCTGGATTTGCAGCAGGAAAGTCAACTACAACACTAAAAATTACAAGCATTAAGTTGAATGAAGCTGGTAATTCTAAGTTCTAAATTGGAAATATATGTGTAAGAGTTGCTATTCTGTGTCAGAGCAAAGATCAGTTGATGCATCAGAATTGTTCCTTAGGAAGGGGAGGAGAGAGCAGGGGCAAGGTGAAGGCAGGGAGTAGCCAGTCACAGGAACCAAATTCCAAATCACTTTCCCCATGTATTGAAGTATCCTGCAGAGAGCAAGGGGGTCAGATGCACGACCTACAGTGCATTCTGGATGGCAAAACATGTCATGATTCTGTCACCGTAACATGCCCTAGACACACAGGTAGTATTTGAGGCCTTCCAGGATGCTAGCATGTTCTTCCTCATGCTCTCCTCTGAAGGATTCATTTTGGTAACCTTCTCCAGTGCCCTTCCCTGAACCCATCCAGATTGGCTTGTATTACAGTATGGCATCCAGAACTGGACACCCCCCATGGGAACCATGGAGCATTTCCCCCCTAAACTTGATTTCTATACTTTCTATACTAGGGTAAAGGAATGGGGTTAACCATCTCTTTCCAAACTGAAATCCTTCTTGAAAATCTTCCTTTGGGTGATAACTCAGCTTAGGGGGAGAAAAGCCCCTGAGCATGAGTGGGCACTCCAGGCCCTTCATAAGCCCAATCCTAGCAACAATCCCTGTGCAGCCTAAAGTTGCATTACTGTCTGAAGACACACTACCGCCACACAAATCCATTCCCAGCTTGTCTCCATCCCTCATTCCCTGCAGGTGGTTGTCTACCATTATTGCTGCAACCACCCATCTCTTCTCTGTTTAACCAAGGAGTGTTTTTAAAGCAGAGAAAATGCAGCACGGACTTTGGAAATGTGAAAGAAACAGGATTTCCTAATATGTAGAGCATGGGTCCTCAAACTATGGCCCACAGGCCAGATATGGCCTACCAAGGTAATTTACCCGGCCCGCCTCAGAGCTTTTGGACTTGTTTGGAGAAAATGATCTTCAAACAAGTCCAAAAGCTCTGAGCTGCAGCCGTTCTCTGAAACTCTTTCAGTTTTGGAGACTAGCAGAGAGCCAGCGCTCCTTCATAGATCACTGCCTTGTCGTGGCAAAGGGGCTTGCGTAGCTCAGTGAAGCTATGAGCTAAGCCGTGCAGGGCCACCCAAGACGGACAGGTCACAGCAGAGAGCTCTGACAAAACGTGATCCACTGGAGAAGGAAATGGCAACCCACTCCAGTACCCTTGCCATGAAAACCCCATGGACAGCACCAAAAGGCAAAAAGACATGACGCCGGAGGATGAACCCCTCAGATCGGAAGGTGTCCAATATGCTACTGGGGACGAGCGGAGGGCTAGTACTAGTAGCGCCAGAAAGAATGAAGCGACTGGGTCAAATCCGAAAGGACACAGTTGCAGATGTATCTGGTGGTGAAAGGAAAGTCCGATGCTGTACAGATCTATACTCCACAGGAACCTGGAATGTAAGATCCATGAATCAGGGCAAGCTGGATGTGGTCAAACAAGAGATGACAAGACTGAACATCGACATCTTAGAAATCAGTGAACTAAAATGGACAGGAATGGGTGAATTTAATTCATAGTAAATAAAAGAGTAGGAAAAGCAGTACTGGGATACAATCTCCAAAATGACAGAATGATCTCAGTTTGAATCCAAGGCAAACCATTCAACATCACAGTAGTCCAAGTCTATGCCCCAACCACTGGTGCTGAAGAGGCTGAAGTTGACCAGTTCTATGAAGGCCTACAACACCTTCTAGAATTAACACCAAAAATGATGTCCTTATCATCATGGGGGATTGGAATGCTAAAGTAGGAAGCCAAAAGATAACTGGAATAACAGGCAAGTTTGGCCTTGGAGTACAAAATGAAGCAGGGCACAGGCTGGTAGAATTTTGTCAAGAGAATACAATGGTCATAGCAAACACTCTTTTCCAACAACCCAAGAGACGACTCTACACATGGACATCATCAGAAGGTCAACACAGAAATCAGATTGGCTATGTGCTCTGCAGCCAAAGATGGAGAAGCTCTATATGGTCAGTAAAAACAAGACCAGGAGCTGACTGTGGCTCAGATCATGAGCTTCTGCAAAATTTAGGCTTAAATTGAAGAAAGTAGGGAAAAGCACTAGGCCACTCAGGTATGACCTAAATCATATCCCTGATGAATATACAGTAGAGGTGACAAATAGATTTCAAGAAGTAGATCTGATGGAGTGCCTGAAGAGCTATGGACGGAGGTTTGCAGCATTGGACGAGAGGTAGCAACTAAAACCATCCCAAAGAAAAAGAAATACAAGAAAGCAAAATGGCTGTCTGAGGAAGCTTTTCAAATAGCTGAGGAAAGAAGGGAAGTGAAAGGCCAGGGAGAAAGAGAAAGATACACCCAATTGAATGCAGAATTCCAGAGAATAGCTAGAAGAGATAAGAATGCCTTCTTAAATGAACAGTGAAAAGAAATAGAAGAAAGCAACAGAACAGGGAGGACCAGGCATCTCTTCAAGAAAATTGGATATATGAAGGGAACATTTCATGCAAAGATGGGCATGATAAAAGACCAAATTGGCATGGACCTAACAGAGGCAGAAGAGATTAAGAAGAGGTGGCAAGATTACACAGAAGAACTGTATAAGAAAGAGCTTAACGTCCCTGATAACTATGATGGGATGGTCACTGACCTCGAGCCAGACATCCTGGAATGTGAAGTCAAATGGGCCTTAGGAAGTCTGAGCAACAACAAAGCTAGTGGAGGTGACAGTATTCCAGCTGAGCTATTCAAAATCCTAAAAGACGATGCAGTAGAAGTGCTACACTCAATATGCCAGCAAATTTGGAAAACTCAGCAGTGGCCACAGGATTGGAAAAGGTCAGTTTACATTCTGATCCCAAAGATGGGCAATGCCAAAGAATGTTCAAACTACCGCACCATTGCACTCATTTCACATGCTAGCAAAGTTATGCTCAAAATCCTACAAGCTAGGCTCCAGCAGTATGTGGACTGAGAACTACCAGAAGTACAGGCAGGATTTCAAAGAGGGAGAGGATCTAGAGATCAAATTGCCAGATACGTTGGATCATGGAGAAAGCTTGGGAGTTCCAGAAAAACACCTACTTCTGCTTCATTGACTATGCTAAAGCCTTCGACTGTGTGGATCACAACAAATTGTGGCAAGTTCTCAAAGGGATGGGAGTACCAGACCATCTTATTTGTCTCTTGAGAAACCTATATGTGGGTCAGGAAGCAACAGTGAGAACTGGACATGGAACCACTGATTGGTTGAAAATTGAGAAAGGAGTTCAGCAAGGTTGTATATTGTCGCCCTGCCTATTTAACTTCTTTGCAGAGCACATCATGAGAAAGGCAGGGCTAGATGAATCTCCAGTTGGAATTAAGATTGCTGGGAGAAACATCAACAACCTCAGATATGCAGATGATACCACTCTAATGGCAAAAAGTGAAGAGGAACTAAAGAGCCTCTTGATGCGGGTGAAGGAGGAGAGTGCAAAAGTTGGCTTAAAATTCAACATTAAGAAAACTAAGATCATGTCATCCAGTCCTCTCACTTCCTGGCAAATAGATGGGGAAGAAACGGAGGTAGTGACCAATTTTATTTTCCTGGGTTCCAAGATCACCGCAGACGGGAACTTCAGCCAAGAAATTAAAAGACGCTTGCTCCTGGGGAGGAAAGCTATGGCAAACCTAGACAGCATACTAAAAAGCAGAGATATCACCCTGCCAACAAAAGTACGTATAGTCAAGGCTATGGTTTTCCCAGTTGCAATGTATGGCTGTGAAAGCTGGACCATAAGGAAGGCTGAGCACAAAAGGATTGAGGCCTTTGAATTGTGGTGCTGGAGGAGACTCCTGCGAGTCCCTTGGACTGCAAGGAGATCAAAACAGTCAGTCTTAGAGGAGATCAACCCTGACTGCTCTTTACAAGGCCAGATACTGAAGATGAAACTCAAATACTTTGGCCACCTAATGAGAAGGAAGGACTTCCTGGAGAAGAGCCTAATGCTGGGAACAATAGATGGCAAAAGAAGGAGGGGACTGCAGAGGATGAGGCGGCTAGATGGAGTCACTGAAGCAGTTGGTGTGAGCTTGAGTGGACTCCGGGAGATGGTGGAGGACATGAAGGCCTGGAGGAATGTTGTCCATGGGGTCACGATGGGTCGGACATGACTTCGTGACTAACAACAACAGAGAGCTGGCGCACAAACCAAATTGTAACAGATCCCTTCAACTGAGCATGAGCTGGCTCTTCTCCCTATTGCACACATGCATTGGCTCTGAATACAGAGCGGGGATACGCAGTGGGAATACAGAAGAGAGGAGGGTGGTGGGAAGAGGGAGAGGGAGAGACAAAGATACTAAAAAACATAGAAGGTAAGAAAGTATAACTTTTAAAAAATATTTTTAACTATATGAGCCACATCCCGAGGCTGCGGGCCAAGCCATGGCTGCCTTGCCGAGCCCAGGGGCAGACAGACCAAGGCGGAGCGGGGCCTCGGCTCCTGGACCTCCACTGCAGCCTTCTCAGGACAGGCTGCTGCCACCGTCAAGCGGCCGCCATGCTTCTTCCCCCCGCAGCGGGAGAGGCGGGAGGCACCCCTCTTGGCCAGCTGTGGCCCTGTCCCTTGCCTCCCCTGGCCTCGGCCTACAGAAAGCAGCCCTTACCTCCCTCCTCGTGGCCCTCTCCCAGCTGCGGGAGCTGCCCCACCCTCGCCTCTTCGGGCTCCTGCTCCCGCTCCCGGAGCCAGGCGAGCTCCTGCAAGGGGACCTTCCCCTGGTTCGGAAGCGGGGTGGCAGTGAGGAGCCGGGAGGGCCTCGAGCGAGGCGAGCACACCCTCATGGCTCCCCCTCTTGTCGTTCTCTCCCTTTCAGCGGGCAGTGTGGCATCAAATTGGGCTTCTGCAGCAGTCTGAGTTAGCAGAGCAAACATTTTTTAATTTTTAATTAATTTTTTAAAAAATAATTAATTTTATTAATTTTTAATGAACAGTGCGCATAAGAATTCATTCATATTTTTTTCAAACTATAGTCCGGCCCCCAAACAGTCTGAGGGACAGTGAACTGGCCCCCTGTTTAAAATGTTTGAAGACCCCTGGTGTGGAGTATTTTACCACTATACTATGGTTCCATCTAAAGGTTAGGGAACAGAATGGAATAGAAAAGAAATGCTCTGTGCAGTGCTCTAGTCTCAGTTGTTCAACAAGAGTAGAATTAGACACACCAGATTAACAGCCAATGAGCAGCCTTGTGAAGAAAAGCACAGCCTAGACTCCCACCATCATCTTCATTTGTTAGACCAGCAATAGAAGTTTATCTTGTTTCACTCAAGCTTTATATTATTGCAGGGGTGGGACAAGCTAGAAAGTTTACAAATGAGTATGGTGAATCTGAAGAGGTATGAAAGTTCACAGCTTCAAGAAACTACAAAATTGTCCCTCTGTAACATGTTTTTGGTTTTTTTGCAGGTGACTATAGTTGCACTTTTCTGAAAAAGGGAATTGACTTGTCGTCAATCTACAAAGCTGTGGGTAATATAACAGTCTCCCAAATCAAAGTTGTGCCATCAGATAATGTTTCGATTGTATGCAATGGTGAAAGTAAAACACTGAGCTGCTGTACAGAAAGCAATATACAATTATTCACTTCTTACTGGAAATCACATGGAGCAATAAATATTTCAGGTACGAAGCCAAATCACCTCTGTTGTCCCCTATTTCAGGCCAAGCCATTTCCTGCTTCCTCCACAGCATGTGTGTGCATGCATAACGCGCACACGCATGCAGACAGTCGCTTTAATCTGTTCCAAATGACTTTCCAAGGACCTCCGGGCCATCTAGATGAGATGCCCTTGTGCAATGACCGTGGATGGCCTTTTAAAAGCAAACAGCAGGTGCAGGGACCCCATGTGGGGGCAGCTTTAACACTGTGCTGTTGCCATAATCCTAGTCCGGATCATCTGCCCCTACCCCACACATTCATAATCTGCACTGAAAGAAAAGCTCCTATTGGTGTAAATGCGAACCCTTTTTTCCCAAGGTAAAGAATAAGTGTAGGGAGTGTGATCTCAGTTAGGAACGTGGCAGGAGGCAAAAAGCATTCAGCCTCACGCCAGCACCCTGGGTCTGAGGCCTGGTCAGGCTTGTGCCCCTGCTACTTACTGTTAAAAGGTCACCCATGCTAACTGAGAAGGCCGTGTCACGGCCTTGGGATGTGACTAGGGCAAGGGCGCCTTCTTTCCACCTTGCTCTGTCCTGCTTGTATGCCTGTTTTGCCTTGTCCTTGGACTGCAGGGTTTATGGGATACTGTTCTTCCTAGCCAAGTTCTGTATGCTAGAGATGCTTCTTCTGCTTGGAGTGGGAACTGTTGTCTGGTGCATTTATGAGAAGGGTGGAACAAATCCCTCTGGGATAAACCTCTGGGATCCAGCAGTAGTTTTAAGCCACTTGTAAGTCTGGATCGGAGGCCTTGTGGGAGCCGGGTAGCACACTGGCTACGCTCACAGGCTGATGGTGCCACACGCAACAACCACTTTGCTTTTCCCCAGAGAAGAGCAGAGGTGCTGCCCTGGACTTCCGGTTTCATTTAGATGCCGACCAGCCTTCAGCACATTGTCTTTCAGCTAATTCCTTTCACTTCCTTGCAGGAAGCACCACTTCTACACACAACTGTACCACATACCTTCTTCAGGCTAACGAGTCTCAGTGCCCAGCAGACAAATCTGGCACCAAAACGGATTACATGTGTGAGCTGAACACAACTTACGGTGCCCGCAGCAGTAAAGTGATCAGTGTGACCTACTTCCGGCTGGGTGAGCCCTTCTTTGGGAATGGCACCTGTCCTTCGGCCGCCGTGTGTGCAACGGGACAATGTCCTGGTCTGCGTAGAATGCCCTCCTCGGGTGACATGGGCTTGGCACAGATGCTCATCCTTAGCGGAGCATGCTGATGGGAAATGTGGGGAAGGGGTGGAACCATCATGGGGAAAGCATGAAGCCATGTGGAGGCTGAGGCAGAGAACTGTAGGTAACCCTCTTAGGACCAAGAACTCTGGAATGCAGGAAGTGCTTGTGTGTCCCAGACTCTCTCCCGGAGGACTTGGTGTGCTCTTCCTCTGGTTTGTAATTTTTTTTAATCAAGCACTATGTTATAAAAGCTTTTCCCTTAGGCGTTTGACATGGGCTTGAAGCCGGCGGAATTTTTCTTTTTGTGACATTTATTTTAACTTCAATTTACTCTTCCTGATTGCAGCAATAACATGCATGTTTCTTGACCACCATCGCTTTAATATTTTGATTGTGGGGATGCTAATGGTACTATATGCATGTGTAACAGGGAAGGGGCAAGGGAAAAACTACTACTGAATCTGGGATACCACAAAGTATATAGGGTTGCACACATCAGAAAGGCTCCCCAGTGCCCTGAACATTCTGGTCTGGGATGAAATTCATCTTGGAGCCAGTTGCTGTTGGTGTTGTTTTTATACCCTGTGGGTCTCACCATTCCACCAGGTTTCCATAATGCCTTTTATATCTCAGACCTCCTTGCAGTAATCCTATTTGACTCAGAAGTTTCTAGCATTTTCAGTGAGGCACCTAAACATAGTGTTCCTCTGCAGACATTTGCAACTTAAGATTTTGGTTCTCTGACTGGTTATCATGTCTCAGGATACGCTTGAGACTTATTTCTTCCCCCACAACATTTGGGCTATCAGAAGACGTTTCTTCTCCATCCCTTGAGATTTTGTAACCCAATCTGGACACTTCCCAGCTCCTCTTGGCTTTCCCCAGGCTTCAGTTTAAAAACTGTTCTGTCACCTTTTGTATATTATGTTCCTGCAATCTGATTCCATTGTGATTCCAGTAGAACCAGTTACTCTTGTGCCATCTAATCAGAGCCCAAACTGCAGCTAGCTATCTTTTTTTTTTTTTTAAGCAGTCTCTTCACTGACTAGACTGGCACAGTGGATCTTCTCAGTACGAAGCTAGGAACTGTTTATCTTTCCTTCCTAAACTTGGAATTTGAATATGGACTTTCAGTTTGAAACATGAGTTTGAATAGGGGCTTTCTCACTAAACAAGGCTGCAGGGACTATGCTCCTATGTTCCAGTTCCTGCTGGATCCTGTCATCTCCCCCACCCCACACATCAATGTTGTTCTTGAGATGGAGAAGGAAATTAGTGACACCTCAGGCAAAGGCAGTGCAGCAATGCCGGGTGGCTCCAAGTCCCCCCGCATGTTCCCGTTGCAGCAAAGAGGTTAACATTCTCTGTGTCCAGAATGATGTCCCCTACAGCCGTTGTCCATGGAACCAGCCAGAGGGGAGGCCACCCTGGGTTAATGTGAGGTGGGTGGGCCAAGAATATAAATGTTGTCGAACCAACTGAAATCAGTGACCACAACATTATTAGCTTATTAGATTAGAGGTATACCTAATCTACACCTAAAAGTGTATACACCTAAAAGTCCAGCTCACTTAAATTTTCTTCAAAAGAGTGCCCTATGCATAGCAGAGATAAGGAAATGTAGCACAAAGTCCAGGAGGTTACCAGCATGGTAAATGAGAAATGTTAAGGAAGCTGTTAGCAAAAAGGCAGTTTTCTTCAGAAAATGCAAGCCTTGCCCAAATGAGGAAAAGAAAAGGGAGCAAAGCTTGCACAAGGGAGATGCAAAAAAAAAAAAAAAAAATGCAAAAAAGCATTCTGAGGAGCATTTGACTTTATGCATTAACAACTAAGAAGTCTGTCAATACATCAGAACCCAAAATCTGACTCCTAGCTGAGCAGATTGCAGGATGCTGACCCAGCTGCTCTAAGGACTTTTGGATACGAGCAACCAAGATCCCAGAGAGAGAGAGCGAACAGAGCAAGTGACCAAGAAGAAATAACAGGAGTTTGGTAGTGAGCTCAGTGGGGGAGGTCAAGGTGGAGGTTTCAAACTTCTTTTGTTTTCTCCCCCTCTCCCCACCCCACCTTATTGCTTTTCCCCTTTTTTTCTTCCTTGCAACACACTCCTATTTACTGGTAGAACTGTACTGTTAACCCTCAGGGAAGACAGGAGAAAGTTCTGGGTTGTTACAGCAGGCCTAGCAATGTAGAACAAAAATGTATCAGACAGAGCAGACTGAGATCTCCCAGTGTGGTGGCCTGCAATGTCCGTGCAATGTTTGTTTTCTTGCCTGAGGTCAACACGGCCTACGTGTGCAACAAGTGCAAGCTCATAGCCCTGTTAGAAGGAAAGGTGAGAGCACTAGAGCAGTGAGTGTCCACCTTCAAGGGAATAAATTAGTTCACTTCTTCATGCTAAACTCCATGCTAAAGTCATAAAGGGGCTGGTGGAAGAACTCTCAGAAGCACTATTACCTTGGAGAAATAGCCAGATGACTAGAGAAGGGCTAATGTTGTCCCCACCTTCAAGAAATTAAAAAAACAAACAAGGAACTACAGACCAATCAGTCTGACGTCAGACTGGGAAAATTCTGGAGCAGATTATCAAGCAGTCAGTCTGCAGACACCTTGGAAAAAATGCAGTGATTACTAGAAGCCAACATGGATTCCTCAAGGAAAAATCCTGCTGGACTAACCTGATTTTATTGGTTGCTAACCAAGGAGAGTAACCTCCCTGGTGGATTGTGGGAATGCTGTGGGTGAAATATATCTTGACCTAAGCAAATTTTTGACAAAGTCTGCAAAGCAGGTCCTGCCAGACAAACCTTGTGGAATTCTATGACAAGATTTCAAGCTGGCTAGACAGAGGGGATGGGGTAGATATGGTTTACCTAGATTTCAGCAGGCCTTTGACAAGGTGCTGCATGATATCCTGGTTGAGAAATTGATAAATTTTGGGATAGATCGATGCACTGACTGATGGATTAGGGCATGGTTGATGCACTGCAAACAGAGGGTTACTATCAGTGGGGATCATCAGGATAGCAGCCAGTGACAAGCAGAGTCCCCCAGGGCTCAGTTCTGGGACCAATTCTGTTCAACCTTTTTATTGGAGGCCTGAAGAAGGAGGTAACCAGTCAGCTGACCAAATTTGCAGATTACACCAAAGAGGGGGCAGTGGCCATAACTGGGGAGCAGGTACTCCAGATCCAAAAGGATCTGGACAGACTGTGGAAGTGGACAGGGACAACAGGATGGTAGATAAGTACAAGGTCTTGCACTTGGGACTCAGAAACAGGTGCCATAGGTATGGGATGCGGAACAAGTGGCTGGAGAGCAGCACCTGTGAAAGGGATCTTGGGGTACTTGTCGATAGCAGGCAAACATGACCCAGCAGTGTGATGTGGTGCTTAAGAGGGCAAACACCACCCTTGGATGTATAGCCAGAAGCATGACTTCCAGATTGGGAGAGGTGTTAGTACTGCTCTATAAGATTCCATTGCACCCACAGCTGGAGTACTGTGTCCAGCTCTGGGCTCCACACTATAAATGAGACATAGCTAGTCTAGAATCAGTTCAGTGCAGGGTCACAAGGATGGTAGCTGGACTGGGAGGATGCCATATGAGATGAGATTGAGGGAGCTGGGTCTTACCAGCCTGGAGAGGAGGAGACTCAGAGGGGATCTTATAACAACATATAAGTATGTGAAGGTATATAGGTGTCACATGGTTGAGAATTGTGACCTGTTCTCCCCTGTGGCGGAGCAAAGGACATGGTCCAAGGGGGCAAAGCTCAAGGAACTGGGTTTCAGGTTCAGGATCAGAGGCAGCATCACCATGCACACCAGTTGCTTGGGAACATGGGCTGGAGGGAGCCATTGTGCTCGTGTCCTGCTGGAGGGATCCTGTGAGCAGCTGGGGGGCCACCAGGCGAACGGAATGGAATGCTGGACTAGATGGACACTTGCTGTGACCCCGTGAGAATTTTCTTCTGTTCTCCTATAAGACCTTGCTCTAACATTGCACCCATGATCAAACCCTAAACTATATGTCTTTATTTTGTTTCATCAGCAAAAGTAACCATGTCTGCTAGCCGAAATGGCCATGTTTCTGAGGGCCATGGCTTCTCTCTAACATGCCTTAGTGATGTGAGTAATTATGACAAAGTCACCTGGAAGATCCAAAGAGGAAACTCCACCACGCATGTAGACAGCATATGGTATTCTACCAGAAAGACCCTAAAAGGAGCCGAATCTGTGCTGACAGGGGCCGCTGCCACCCGGGACTGGAATGGTGAGCAGAAAGAGGAATTACTGTTGCCACCTCGCTATCCAGATTTCTTAGGGCAGGAAAATAAGAGATCATGTTGATCAAATAATTTGGCAAGTAAAAGCTTCTTGAAAATACAGTTTGCACTGCATGCAGTGGGTGGCAGAGCTTTAGACAGTGTTTTGGGACTGCCTCGCTCTCATTGGCTTGAAGCAATCAATTCTGTTAATTTTGTTTCATTGTTTTCAGGCACCTACACTTGCACCTTTTTCCAAAGTTTTTTGAACAGCTCTGCATCCATGCAATTTGAAGTTCATCCTTTGCCCCTGAAACATGAAATAATAAGAGATCCCATAGATGCATCCGTGCCTTGTCCAGGCACCCAAGTTCTGAAGTGCTGCACAAGCAAATTGGAACATTACACAGTGTCATTCTATGCTCCAGGATGGCCTTCAGCTATTCAGGCAGGTAAGCAATCACTGGCTGCACAGATGGGAGTGGGAGGGAAGCAGATCTGTGAGTGTCTGAATAGCATTGATGTGAAAAAGATGTGCTTAATAAAGTGGACACATCTCAGAGGGCTATGTAACAGTTGCATTTATGTCCACGCTGATGTCTTCATTTTGCTCTATACCATTCTAAAACGCAAATAAATGGCTATTTATTTATGTTTAAATATTTATTATCTGCTTCTTGAGCAAAGCGCTCAGAGCAGCTTGCATGGATTAAACAGTGAAAAACAAAACTATGCTTTCTCATTGGAATTGCAAGAGGCTGCTTGTAAGAGCACCTAGAGGTCTAACATCTCTCCAGTTCTCGCAGCCCTCACTGATCATGGCTGTGATCTAGGGAAGCATGGCTGTTCCCATAGTTGTTGAAATTGTTCGCCACTCTAAACAAAACGTTCCCCTGCAGAAAAAAGAGAAGAAGGCAGCTTCAACTGCTATCACCAAACACTCACAGTCACAGAAGCGTATTGTGATTCCACACAGCAGGTTTCCCAGGTGCATTGTGAGTTCACTAACCAAATTGATGTGACTGTGAAGAGCTCACCTATGACCCTGCATCTTATACCAGGTAAGGAAGAGTATGTGGGCAGTCGTGTTTGCTTGGTAGCTATTTTCCATTCTGCACATTGGGATAGCGTAATTTGGATTGCTAATTAGGCAAATCTAGCATATTGATTTGGGTATGTTCCACAAGTTATTTTGCATTTGTTTCTGGAGAATACCACCAAAGGTTGGAAAGGAGCAGTGGGAAGATATCTGGCCATCTGTTCCTACCAGATTTTTCCCTTCTTCCTTTCCCTGCACCTCAGAACTCACATGGACAGTCAGGGAGAAATGTGGTAGCAGGCTTCTCTCCCTGCTTCTGCTGCCCAGAGGTACATGGCTTTGCATTTACTCATCAGATATGTGAAACGAAGGCTATGAAGGGGAAGCACTCCTTGTTTTCCTCCTAAATATCAGATCCTAGGTAAGTTGTATTCCAAAAGTAGAGCACCCTCCTTTCACTTTTAGAATTTAGCCCACCTTAGAAGGAAATAGAAGAGCTTCATGAGCAGCTGAATGTTTAGGCTGCAGTTCCAATCTCACTTTCACAAAAGCATATCTAGTGAATGTTCCAGTGGATTTTCAAAAGAAGGGAAACCTAGTCATCCTTTTCAAATGACCCCCTTTTCTATTCATTCATTCCGCCAGTCATTCTGTGTGAAGATTTATAACCCACCTTTCAATCCAATGACTGCCAAGACGACTTACAACTAGTTGCAATAACACCCCCCCCCCCCGCCCTGCAAGTCCCACCTGCTCAACAGCCCTCATTGCTTCCCCTGCTTCTGCACTCTTTGCTGGAGCTGAGCAGGGAAGTAAATTGCATGCAGTGGATCCTTTCTGACTGAGGGATGGGACAGTCTGCTTGGCACGATGTGCTTCCTGAGAGGCAGGGGACGCAACCTGCCTCATCCTGTGCTTCCATGCTGCCCAGGAGGTAGGATCTGGCAGCTCTTTGCCTTCTCTAGTGATTTTAATTTTGCCCTATAAATGGCATTGGCTTCTTGGGTTGTATAGTGGATTTTTTAATAGTCCCCCTCCCTATGCTTCCCTCTCTTTCCCTAACTCAAGCACTGTGTTGGAGACATCTTTTTTGTTGTTGTTATTGTTGTTGTGACTGTGAATGTTAATGTCAGAGTGGGTAATTAATATTTCTGATGCCAGGGATGAGGCAAGAGCAAAGACATTCTGTTTGTCACAAAATCCAGGTCAACTGTGACCTAGAGCTTCCCTCACTCACAGAAAATTCCAGGGACTTTTCATAACATTGCCATCCTTCAGATCCTTTTTTGGGTTTTCCAACCTTTATAGTGGGTTTTGTAAAGAACAAGAATGAGATTACGTTTTAAACTGCAAATTATTGCAATAAGAGGCTCCAGAGCATTGCAAAGCCACTATGGTGTGGCTAGACCTCAGCACCCCCTTGTGGGGGAGAGAGAGAGAGGTCTTTCCTGAAATAAAAAGGGGAGCAGCCTCCTTAAAATAATGGGTTAAACCCCTCATCTACAATAAACAAGAGAGAAAATGCACCAGAACAAGATGATTGCAGATAAAATAAATATTTCTTACCTAATGATGGGAGCTGCAATGTATGGCTGTGAAAGTTGGACCATAAGGAAGGCTGAGCGGCGAAGGACTGAGGCCTTTGAATTGTGGTGCTGGAGGAGACTCCTGTGAGTCCCTTGGACCTCAAGGCAATCAAACCGGTCAGTCCTAGAGGAGATCAAACCTGACTGCTCTTTAGAAGGCCAAATACTGAAGATGAAACTCAAATACTTTGGCCACCTAATGAGAAGGAAGGACTCCCTGGAGAAGAGCCTAATGCGGGGAACAATAGATGGCCAAAGAAGAAGGAGATGACTGGGGATGGTTGGTCTCCTCTAAGACTGACTGGTTTGATCTCCTTGCAGTCCAAGGGACTCGCAGGAGTCTTCTCAAGCACCACAATTCAAAGGTCTCAATTCTTCAGTGCTCAGCCTTCCTTATGGTCCAAATTTCACAGCCATACATTGCAAGTGGGAAAAACATAGCCTTGACTATACGCACTTTTGTCGGCAGGGTGCTGTCTCTGCTTTTTAGTATGCTGTCTAGATTTGCCATAGCTTTCCTCCCAAGGAGCAAGCATCTTCTAATTTATTGGCTGCAGTCACTGTCTATGTCGATCTTGGAGCCTGGGAAAATAAAATCTTGCACTACCTCCATTTCTTCCCCATCTATCTGCCAGGAAGTGATAAGACCAGATGCCATGAGCTTACTTTTCTTAATGTTGAGTTTCAAGGCAACTTTTGTGTTCTCTTCTTTCACCTGCATCAAGAGGCTCTTTAGTTCCTCTTCACTTTCTGCCATGAGAGTGGTATTGTCTGCATATCTGAGGTTGTTGATATTTCTCCCAGCAATCTTAGTTCCAACTGGTGATTTATCTAGCCCTGCCTTTCTCATGATGTGCTCTGCATACAAGTTAAATAGGCAGGGCAGCAATATACAGCCTTGCCAAACTCCTTTCTCAATTTTGAACCAATCAGTGGTTCCGTGTCCAGTTCTCACTGTTGCTTCTTGACCCGCATATAGGTTTCTCAAGAGACAGATAAGATGGTCTGGTACCCCCATCCCTTTAAGAACTTGCCACAATTTGTTGTGATCCACACAATCAAAGGCTGTAGCATAGTCAATGAGGCAGATGTTTTTCTGGAACTCCCTAGCTTTCTCCATGATCCAGCGTATGTTGGCAATTGGATCTCTAGTTCTTCTGCCTCTTTGAAACCCTGCCTGTATTTCAGGTAGTTAGAAACATAGAAACAGAGCAAGTCAGAAAGGGTCTCCCAGGCCATCTAGTCTGACCTCCAGCACCAGCCAGCTCTGCTCATGACATGCCCACCATGTGCATGTCCAGCCTATCTTTGAACACCCTCACCAATGGGGCCTCAACGACCTCTTGTGGGAGCCCATTCCATACCCTCAGGGTCCTGACTGTCAGGAAGTTCTTCCTGGCATCTAAATGGAACCTTGGTTCCCTGAGCTTTGCTCTGTTGGAACGCATCCTGCCTTCCTCTGCAGGGGAGAACAGGTCTCTACCCATCTCCATGTGACTTCCCCTCACATACGTGTATGTCGCCAACAGATTCCCTCTGAGTCTCCTCTTCTCCAGGCTGAAGAGACACAGTTCCCTCAGTCTCACCTCATGCCCCATCCCCTGCAAACCAGCCACCAACCTTGTGGCCCTACACTGCACTGACAAAGGATATAACCTGGCTATATCCTTTCTGTAATGAGGGGCCCAAAACTGAGCACAATACTCCAGTTGCGGGAGCATCAGAGTCATATAGAGTGGTAGTAATACCTCTCTTGATCTAGAAGAGCCCTGGGGGACCCTGCTTGTCACTGGCCGCCATTCCAAAGATTCCCCACTAATGGTTACCTTCTGCTTTCGGTCAGTCAGCCATGCCCTAATCCACCAGACAGTGCTTTGGTGTATCCCAAAACTCCTCAGTTTCTCCACCAGGATATCATGGGGCACTTTGTGAAAGGCCTTGCTGAAATCCAGGTATACCACATCCACTGCATCCCCTCCATCTAGCCATCTTGAAACCTTGTCATAGATTTCCACAAGGTTTGTCTGGCAGGACCTGTTTTTGAGGAAGCTGTGTTGTGTGGCTGTCAGCCTCCCTTCCCTATCTAGCATCACTAGATCTCTCTCTATTATGAGCCTTTCCATTGTTTTTCCTACAATGGACGTAAGGCTAACCGGTCTATAATTCCCCATGTCCTTTATACTACCCTTTTTGAAAATTGGGACCACTGATGCCACCCTCCAGTCCTCTGGAACTGCACCCATTCTCCATGAGGCCTCAAAAATGGAATCCAGTGGGTGTGAGAGAACCCCTGCCAACTCTCTAAGTACTCTCAGGTGTTACCTGTCAGGGCCTGGAGCCTTTGTAATGTCCAATGCCCTGAGGAGCCCCTCGACTTCAAGGGGGGTGATTCTAATCTGTGCCCCTAAGTCCCCAGCCTCATCTAATCTCCTATGCGGATATCCCCTGTCCTGCTTTGAGGAGCACACAGAGGCAAAATAGTCATTTGTGCCTGTCCCCTCATATCAGTCACTGGATATTCCTTATTTAGTGGTCCCACCACTTGTCTCCCCTTCCTCTTCCTAGTTCTTGGTCTACATACTGCTGGAGCCTAGCTTGTAGGATTTTGAGCATAACTTTGCTAGCATGTGAAATGAGTGCAATGGTGCGGTAGTTTGAACATTCCCATCCCAAAGAAGGGCAATGCCAAAGAATGTTCAAACTA